ATCTCACCTCACTCTCCATGGTTGACCTTCTTCATTTAGCAGCGGATTTAATTAAGGCATTCCACCGAAGGGCAAGATTAAATGCAGAAAATTGATCGTCCGAAAAAATAGGGTTGTCGAAAGATGAGACAAGGACGTAAGCAGGACACTCGGATCGTAATGGCTACACATGCACTTGCTCATAGAGAACACATAGAGAAATTCTCACGGCATTCTTTATCGTGAAGCGTCCTCTTAGAAAAGCAAATAGCAAACACAAACAGAGAAAACTGGATTATCACGATTTACAGAGTACGGTAGTCAGTAAGTACATTACACACGAAACACCTTGTCCAACGCTTAGCCTTACGGAGCGCTGCTTTCAAAAGTAAGGGGTTTAATTCGAACCTCAAGATACTTTTTTAGTCACCAATTGGTTCTTCTATTGTGGAGGCGTGCCGTATTCTTTTCTATTTTGCCTTTTTTTCGAGCATCACATCCAATTCCACAAGAACTTGATCACTTCTGTTGAATAACGGTGGTTGAGCTGCGTGTTCTTAAGAAGGAATACTCGTTGTTTTCGACCACCTTGGGCTAGCATTCATTAGGGAACTCCCACGGGGACGATGGCAAGGAAAAGGGTGGGAGGAGGGAGACAGTGGTCAAGGTGGCTCTGCGTGAACGCGATGGACACGGACGTGCAAGCAGCGGGCGCTCCCCGTCATTAATTTCCGCCCCGCCAAGCGCCGAGTCCTTCCCGCTTCGGCGCGACACTTTTTGAATCGTCTCACGCCATTTTTCAAAGCCAAGTTTCTGTGCTTCACAAATTTCATCGGATTTTTTATTTTTCTTAGTTCCAGCAGTCGAATCCGCCTTTTGCTCAGTTTATTTGATATTATTTCTTACAATATGCCATTTGGATTGTGCTCAGGACATTTCGTTGTGCTATTGATCCGGTTTTACTGCTGTATCAAGTTTCATGAAATTTTCGCCCTCGAGACGCTGTGTGCTTTCCAGTGCTCCATGGAATTAGTACATATGAGGGAATTAAAGGGCGAATGGCTCGGTAATTACCTTTATTGGATCTAATAAGATGATATATCTCATCGTATGTGCAATCGAAGGCTCAATGTTGTTAGCTATGCCCCGCCAGATGCGAGGTCAACGTTGCAAGTATGGCGATTGCCTTCTCATTAGTGCTTTTACTTTAGCTTTGTTTATATTCGTACTCATTGAAAATGCGTCTCATCCTTTGAATGAACTTAGTTTACAATGAATTTGTCAGGAAACCCAAAAATCGCGTCGTTGTTGTTCGTTTTTTTTTCTATTTCATTTAATATGTTTTTTTTTTTT